TCTTCAAGGCAAAGGAAAACAGGATTGAAACAAAAAAAAAAACCCACTAATTGGGAAAAAATATTTGCAAGTCATATATCTGACAAAGGGTTAATCTCCATAATATACAAAGAACTCACACAACTCAACAACAAAAAATCAAACAACCCGATCAAAAAGTGGGCAGGAGATATGAACAGACATTTCTCCAAAGAAGATATACAGATGGCCAATAGGCACATGAAAAGATGCTCATCATCACTGATCATCAGGGAAACATAAATCAAAACTATAATAAGACATCACCTTACACCCATTAGAATGGCAAAAATAACCAAAACAAAAAGTAACAAATGTTGGAGAGGGTGTGGAGAAAAAGGAACCCTCATACACTGCTGGTGGGAATGCAAACTGGTGCAGCCACTATGGAAAACAGTATGGAGATTTCTCAAAAAATTAAAAATAGAAACACCATATGACCCAGCCATCCCACTACTGGGTATCTATCCAAAGAACTTGAAATCAGCAATTACAAAAGTCCCATGCACCCCTATGTTCATTGCAGCATTATTTACAATAGCCAAGACATGGATGCAACTTACGTGCCCATCAACTGATGATTGGATAAAGAAGATATGGTATATATATACAATGGAATACTACTCAGCCATAAAAAAGGATAAAATCGTCCCATTCACAACAACATGGATGGACCTTGAGGGAATTATGTTAACTGAAATAAGCCAGATGGAGAAAGACAATCTCTGTATGACTCCACTCACACGTGAAAGTTAAACATGTAGACAAAGAGAACAGATTAGTGGCTACCTGGGGAAAGGGGGGGGGAGCACAAAGGGTGAAGTGATGCACCTACAACACGACTGACAAACAATAATGTACAACTGAAATTTCACAAGGTTGTAAACTATCATAAACTCAATAAAAATTTTTTAAAAAAGGGCCAAAGACCTTAACAGACACCTCATCAACGAAAATATACAGGTGGCAAATAAGCATATGAAACGATGCTCCTCATTGTATGTCATCAGGAAAATGCAAATTAAAACAGTAAGATATCACTACACATCTATTAGAATGGCCCAAATCCCAAACACTGATAACACGAATGACTGATGAGGATGCGGAACAATAAGAACGCTCATTCGCGGTTGGCGGCAATGCAGAACAGTACAGCCACTTTGGAGGACAGTTTGGTTGTTTCTTACAAAACTAAACATCCTCTTACCACATGATCCAGCAACTGCACTCCTTGGTATTTACCCAAAAGACTGGAAAACTTATATTCATACAAAAACCTGTAAACAGATGTTAACAGAAGCTTTATTCATAATCGCCAAAACTTGGAAGCAACCAAGATGTCCTTCAATAAGTGAATGGATAAATAAACGGCAGGACATCCCGACAACGGAATATTATTGAGCACTAAAAAGAAATGAGCTGTCAACCCATGAAAAGACACGGAGGAACCTTAAATGCATACTGCTAAGTGAAATAAGCCAATCTAAAAAGGCTACATACTGTATGACTCCAATTGTATGACATTTTGGAAAAGGCAAAACTGTGGAGACAGTAAAAAGATTAGGGGCTGCCAGTTAATGAAATTGCTTAGACAAAGATTAATAAAAGACCTAAACAGATATTTAATGTGAGATAATTAATGAATGTCCCGTAAATATATGAAAAGATATTCAAAATCTCAAACTCGTTCAAAATGAGGAAAATGCAGGTTAAAACCATGAGCTCTCAATTCATACCTACAAGATTGGTAAAAAATTAAAAAGTGTTGGTGATAATGTGAACAGTGGGAACATTTACAGACTGCCAGTTGGAGAGTTTATTGGTACATTTGGGAAAACAATTGGGCATTATTTAGAAAAGGTGATGCTGTGTATTCTCTATGACTCAGCAATCCCAACCCAGTACTGAGTCCAGAGAATCTCGTGCTCACATGCATAATTGTATTAGTTGTAATAGCAAAAATCTGGAAACAGTTCAAATGTCCATTAATAATAGATTCCAATGTAGATAAATACATGGTATATTCACACCACGTGTATGGTAAAAATAAATGAATTACAGTTATAGATAATCACATAAATGAATGTTAAGAACCTAATACTGAATGAAGCAAAGCCAGCTGCAAAAGAAAATTCACTGTATGATTCAATTGACATAAAGCTCAAAACCATGCAAAGCAAAACAATATATTCATTGTTTATAGTTTATTAATAACATTGGTTATTTCTAAGGGAAAGAGAAAGGGACAGAAGCAGGGAAGGGTACACAGGGGATTCAAAAGTAACAAAGTTCTTTTACTTAAATGGGTATCCTTGTATTGCTATTCTTTAAACTGTATATAAACAGTACTGTAAAGACTTTTTCATACGGATTAAATATTTAATAAAACAAAAACAGAGAATGAAGTGGTAGCTACATGGATGTTTATATTGTTGTTATTTAAAGTCTACATAACAAAATATTTTTATTCAAAAGATTTCTAGCACTAAGCCAGACATGTCCCAAGTGGAGAAGGACAACTAGAAAGAATAAAACCTCCCCACCTCCAGACCCAGTCAACCCTGTCCCCACTACACGCCCCAGCCAACCCCAGGCCCCAGCACTAATGCCCTCATCCTCCTTCAAAGGAGGAGAAAAAAGATACATTATCTGTTGCTGCATAACAGATTATTCCAAGACTTAGTGGCTTAAAACAAAAATTTGTTATCCCACAGTTTCTGTGGGTCAGGTATCTGGAGTGTGGCTTAGTGGGGTGACTCTGGCTTAAAGTCTCCCATGAGGCTGCAGTTAGGGTGTTGGCCAGAACTGTGGTCTCATCCAAAGGTTTGACCAGGGGAAGATATGCTCCCCAGCTCACTCATGTGGTGTGGTATGATTTGGTTCTCTATGAGTTCATCATTGGCTACACCGGAGGCCACTCCATAGGGCCATAGGGTAGCTCACAACATGGCAGCCAGCTTCCCTCAGAGCGAGAGAGCGAGAGAGAGAACGGTCAAGACAGAAGTCACAATCTCTTTATAACCTAATCTCGGAATTGATAGACCATTACCTCTGCCACTTTCTATTTGCTCGAAGTGTGTCACTAAATCCAGCCAACACTAAAGAGGCGGGGACCAAACAAGGGTGTGAATACTAGGAGACAGGGCTGGTTGGAGGTCATTTTGGAGGCTCTCTACCACACCACAGGATATCTGTCTGCTGATGGGAGTGAGCCCACAAAGAAAGGAAGTGAAATGCAGGAGAGGAGAGTGAGGACCTGGGAAAACAGAGGAAATCCAGGCACAGGACCTTTGCAGTTACTGGTCCACTGTTTTTTTCACTGCCCTTTCATAACTTGGCTGCATGCACCTGTTTTTGATCAGGATATGTAAAAGAAATCTGTTGAATCTCTGTTATCTGTCACAGCAAGATGCATCATCTTGCCCTATTTACAAAACCATATGCAATCTGATCACATCCTGCATAGACAGAAACACATCCCAACTGTGTTTCCCTTCTTTCAGGTATCACATTCCACTGAAATATTTGGGGAAGAGGAAACTTGTTTCTTGTCTGCCTTGGGGTCAGTTCATGCTGCAACTCATTTCTCCATGTCACCTGCCTCCCACCCACTGATTTCAGCTCAGCTCTGAGCCTCTGTTCCCTTTCCCACGAGTTACCACTTATAAGCCCCAATTAATAGCCTCCTTTGATTTAATGCAGCCAACCATAACAACCTCAGAGGGAAGATATGAGCAAAGTGGCTGTTCTTTTACTGACCCCTACTTTAATTCCCCAGCATGTGACCAACCTCCCAGACCACCAGAGCCCACATTGTTCCCTCGTTACTGAAGGTGTGGGTTAACAGAGGCAACCTTCAGCACAGCTCAAAATAACAACGATAAAACAATATAAAACCAAACATTAGACATCATTGTTTTTAAAAACCGTGGGTCAACCCACCACAGTGAAACTCTCAGACATCTTTTTGCCTCAGGCCTGGCCTTCTGCCATGTTGTTGGGCTGCCTCCTTCTTTCCTCCCTCTTCCTTTAGCCTCGCCTGTCTTCACTACATCTCCTTCCTCTTCTTGATGTCACCCCTCAACCTAGGCCCAGCTCACACCTTTCTCCTGCAAGGAATCTTCCAGACTGCCACAGCCCACAGACTAATCCCTTGTGTCTGAATTTGTATTAGGCTTGGGTATTATGGTTTATTTCTTCACTTCCCGAGCGAATTAGTCCTAATTTTCTCTGCTAGTCAAGTTATCAAGTTCTCTGGGTCAGAGGGTCTGGTCTTAACATACCCACCGTGGTGTGATACTTATTTGGTGAAGAGCACACAGTGCGAGGTTAATACTTGTTGAATGGCTCGATTAACTGGACACTTATCTGCACCCTCTTCCCAGTGTTTGGAATGTCGAGGGGCATCTCAGGGGTTCTGACAGGGACAAGGAATAACGCACCTCTGCCGCTAGGGACTGAAGTATGTGTGCGTGTATTTGTAGGGAGAGGCGGTACAATTACCTTCGGTCAAGCTTTGTCCTCAAATTTGCAGGTCCTTAAATTTGACTTTATCAGTTCACCCTGAGGTGATCAGTTGAAGGCAAACTACTACAATACAATTAATGGTGAGCTCAATCTGTATCACACATATTGAGTTCCTCCCAATGGCTCTATTGTCTCAAATCCCAACCTCCGCACTTGCTTTGGCTTCTGCTCTCTCTCCCTTCCCCAGCTTACCGGCCTAGGTTTCCGTGCCCTTGCTTCTGGAAGCCTTCCTGGCCCTACAAGTCTGAGCTAGTAGCCCCCAATGGTTCCAGCACCTCCCCTCCCACCACAACGGTCCTACTGTATTGTCTAAGCGTGTGGATCCGGCCCAGGAAAGCATGGCCAATTAACGAAACCCCAGACCCTAGCTGACGGCAAGACACTTCACATACATCCGTTCCGTGTAAGTGGACGCCAACTGGAGGACGTGGGGGCGGGGACACCCTCATCCGGGCAACTCTGCCAGCCTCCCAGGCTCCCGCCCCCGCAGGCACGGCGCCTGCCTCGCGTGCTGGGCTCTCCTAGCCAGCCGCCACTGCTGCCTCACACACGTGGGCGCCCAGGCCCGAGCCTGCCGGCCCGGCGCGGGTGGGAATGCCTGCCGCCATCTTGCCCCCAGAGGTCCAAAATGAGGCCGGCACTGCTGAGCGCCGCGCTGTTGTTTGTGGGGAGCTCGCTTGTCTGCTCGGAACACCACTTGCTCTCTGCCGAGAGGAAGCGCAGCCCCTGGCGGGAACAGGCCGCTGGGCCGGCGACGGCGCCTGAGGCCCGGCGTGCGAGGCCCTGGGAGCAGGAGGGGCGCCAGGACCCGGAAGAGGAAGGATGGAAAGCCAAGGGCAGTACCGGCTTGCTCCTCTCTGTGGACGCTCTCTGTTGCCTTTCCCCACTTCTCAGCTGGTTGAATTTGGGTTCCTCCTCTTCTGTTGTTCCACCTGCCTTTAACTGAAAATTTATAGACCTGTGCACTCCAATTATAATGATGACCGTAGTAGTAGTAAGAGTAGAAATGCCATACACTTGTGTAGGGTGGCATACATGCTCCTCAAAACATCTGGGGCTTGTCACTCTCATTTTACAGATTAATAATTAATTGGAATTCAGAATTGAAAGGGCTATTAGGTGACCTTTCCATAATACAGTTGTGAAAAATGAATCCAACAAGTTAAATGGGAAGTATTAGAACTTGAACTCTTGATCCACCAGTCCTAGGCTCTTTAATCGCCAGTTCACTCGGAAGAAAGTGATATCTGGATAGAGAAACTTATCTCATTTTTATACTTTAGGGCAACCGAGTTTTAAAAGTAATGAATCGTATTGATTTAATGGCTTTCTATTTGTAAGTAATCAATTAAGGCATGCTTGTCTTAGCTCTCCTTTAAGATGTTTCTTTTCAAAATATGGGCATGCCTTTAGGTATTCAGCTTGCTTTATCAGGTGTTTGTTTTCTGTTTGATATTTTTCCGAGGAAGATTTGCCCTGAGCTAACATCTGTGGCCAATCTTCCTCCTTTTGCTTGAGGAAGATTTGTCCTAAGCTAACGTCTGTGCCAGTCTTCCTCTATTTTGCCTGTGGGTCACGACCACAGCATGGCTCAGGTCCAAGTGGTGTAGGTCCAGGCCTAGGAACTGAACCCCACTGGGGCCGCCAAAGTGGAGCACGCTGAACTTAACAACTAGGCCACAGGGGCTGGCCCTGCATGATCAGTTTTTAAATAGGAATTTAAAAGATTATATTACCATATTAAGATTAGGAAGTAATACATATGATTAGATGTTCAGTCCAAATAATATATCATTTTTATTTCTAGATTGTGGAACAGCACCCCTTGCCAATGTGTTGAAAGGATCTCGGATTATAGGGGGCACAGAAGCTCAAGCTGGTGCATGGCCATGGATAGTTAGCCTGCAGATTCAATCTGGCAAAGGTCCTACTCATATATGTGGGGGAAGCTTAGTGAAAGATAGGTGGGTCCTCACAGCTGCCCACTGCACTAAGCAGTCTAGGTATGTATTCAGAACACAACTCCTATTTTATTCTCTTAGGGGATTTTTTTTTTTTTAATTGAGGTAACTGGTTTATAACATTACTTAAATTTCAGGTGTACAGCTTTATATTTCAATTTCTGTGTAGATTACATCATGTTCACCACCCTACAACTAATTACCATCCATCACCACACACATGTGCGAATCATCCCTTTCACCTTCCTCCCTCCCCCATTCCCCTCTGGTAACCACCAATCCAATCTCTGTCTCTATGTGTTTGTTGTTGTTTTTATCTTCTACTTGTGAGTGAGATCATACAGTATTTGACTTTCTCCCTCTGACTTATTTAGCTTAGCATAATACCCTCCACGTCCATCCATGTTGTCACAAATGGCAAGATTTCATCTTTTTTATGGCTGAGTAGTATTCCATTGTGTATATATACCACATCTTCTTTATCCATTTGTCACTTGATGGGCACCTAGGTTGCTCTCAAGTCTTGGCTATTGTGAATAATGCTGCAATGAACATAGGGGTGCATGTATCTTTACTCATTTGTGTTTTCATGTTCTTTGGATAAATACCCAGCATTAGAATGGCTGGATCATATGATAGGTGTAGTCTTAATTGTTTGAGGAAACTTCACACTGTTTTCCATAGTGGCTGTACCAGTTTGCACTTCCACCAGCAGTGTATGAGAGCTCCCTTTTCTCCACATCCTCTCCAACACATTGTTTCTTGTCTTGTTAATTATAGCCATTCTGATGGGTGCAAGGAGCTATCTCATTGTAGTTTTGATTTGCATTTCTGTTAAGGGATATTTTGAAGTGGTAGAGGACCATTTGACTTCAGCTATGTTCAGTTAAGCCATATGTTTACAAGTAGCCATAATGCCTTATATGTAGTACACTAAATATTTGTTGAAATAAAATCCTTTAAATCAGAGGTCAACAACCATTTTCTGAACAGATAGTAAATATTTTACACTTTGCAGGCTGTATGGTCTCTGTCACAGCTACTCAGCTCTGCCAGTGTAGAACCAAAGTGGCCACAGACAATACATAATTGAATGAGTGTGCTGTGATTCAATAAAACTTTATTTATGAACACTAAAATTTGAACAAAATGCTATTTTGTCATTTTAGGTTTTTCCAAACCATTTAAAAGTGTGAAAAATATTCTTTGTTAGTGGGCTGTATAAACACAGCAGACAGTCCAGATCTGAGTTGTGGGTTGGAGTTTGTTGAACTTTCCTTTAAATAATGAAGTTTTTCTTTTAGCTTTTAAGGTTATTATAGTGTAACAACGTGTTTGTCTTTCCCACCATTAGCTCATGCGTTCTTTGAAGACAAGGACTACATGTGTTATTTTGTATTCCTGGTACTAATATAGGACTTGGCCTACTTACAGGAGACATGATAAATGTTTATTGAGTCTATGGATGATGTTTGTCTTGGAGAAACAGGATTTACCTCAGAATAGAATTTTATAACCCTCCTAACCATTTAATATGAAACTCAGATAAATCCTTTGGGAAACCATGGTGCCTGTCATATAGTCTCCCTTTAAAGAGTCTTTCATTTTTAAGAGAAGAGCTGTCTTGGAGAAGAATGAAAATTCTTTAAGAGGAACTAACAACAACTTCAAAATTCAATTGAGGGCAACTACCCTGATGGGGCACATAAAGTTTTAATCTATATATTTTATATATATATATTTTTTTTAATTTATTTTTTTGGCGAGGAAGATTGGCCTAGAGCTAACATCTGTCGCCAATCCTCCTCCTCCTTTTGCTTGAGGAAGACTGTCACCCAACTAACATCTGTAGCAGTCTTCCTCCATTTTGTATGTGGAATGTGGCCACAGTGTGGCTTAATGAGCATTGCCTGGGATCTGAACCTGCGCACTGTGGGCCGCCAAAGCAGAGTGCATGAACTTAACCACTACACCACTGGCCCGGCCCCTGTATATTATATTTTTAAAACATGCATTTCAGTTCCATAAATTGGCCTTTTGAAGAATAGAGATTAGAAAAATGAGAAGATACTAAAGTCTAAACCAAGAGTACAGAAAGTGATATAGAAAAAAGTTTCAGTTAGGAATCAATTTTGTTCTTTCAGGTGTGGGTGTTTTACAACTGCTTTCTAACATGCTGTCTTTAAAAACTCCTTTTCAACAGCTTTCAAACCTTAAACCAAGGGAGGAAATGCCTGCTTGGTATGGTTTGAAGATTCTTGGAAAAGCTCTTCTCACCTAAGTCCTGACATTGTGCCTTTACGGTCTGTTCCTTTGACACAGTGGGGGGAACAGTGAGTTTGGAGCAGGAAGACCTGTATCCTAGTCCTCCACTGACACTTTGTGAAGTGGCTTTAAGTAAGCTTCCAAAACCTACTAGATTTAGGACCTTGGTCAAATAATATAGCTTTATTATATTGTCATAGAATCTTAGAGTTCAAAGAGGCATTTTAATGGTCTGATTCAGTCCTCTGTCCTGTATGTGAAACCTTCTTAGAATATTGAAGTAAAAGGTTCTCTAGTCTGAAATAATTATTGCTTCAGTGTATTGAGCCAGGCATTTTTTCATACATAATTCCCACTAATCTTCACAACTACTGTTTGCTGTAGGGAGACCCTGAGACTTCAGCATTCTTAAGTACCTTGTTCATGGTTCCATAGTTGGAAAGCAACAAAATCAGGGATCAAATCCAGGTGTCTCAGAATGAAAACCCACACACGCATCCATAACTACAACATGTGGCTCTCTACTTGAAACACCTCTTGTGATGATGAACTGCTGTCTTGGAAAGAATCTTATTTCAGTTTCCGACGGCCTCAATTCTTAGAAAGCTTTTGCTTATGTTAAACTAAATGTGTTGGTTTTCATTCTGCCTTCTGAAGCCATATATATTAAACCTAATTACTCTTCCAAGCATTTGAAGATAATGTTCATATTCCACTTTCAGTTCGCAAGACTAAATCTTATTGATGTTTTTACCCCTTTACTCAACAAACATTTACTGAATATATGTTATATACTAGGCAGTTGGTTAGGTGCTGAGGAAGTAGACATTATTGAGGCATAGTCTCTACTTTTCAGGAGTTTCCTCCTGTCTTCCTCCTGTCTCAACTCTGCCCCCTTCTATTCCTGCTGCCTCTCATTTCCTAAACCCTGTATCATCAATTATCTCTTATTCCTTCTAATAACAACCATTTATCAAAGACCTGCTGAGATTAGGTACTGTCAAGGGATGTTATATATAATTCTGTATTTAAAAAAAGCCCTCCTAGCAACCCTCTGAGACAGCTATTATTTCCATTTTACACTTGAAGAATCCACAGATCAGAGAGATTTGGTAACTTGCCCAAGATCACATTGCTGTTAACTGGCAGCCCACTGATTTAAATTCATAGGTCTCAAACCTATGCTGTTTCATTATACCTCATTGTTTCTTTAGTATTTTTCATTCTCCTCCTCTTGTTTCTTCCCTACAGCCTTCAAACATGTTTAGGTCACCTCATCATTATTTTAAAAACAAACAAACTCTACCTGTTTCTGTTCTTCCCTTCACTATTAGACACCTTGAAAGGAAGATTCCCCTTTGCTTCATCTGCAGTAACTCATAAAGTCCCAATTGCGTTTTGATTTCTGTGGCCAAAACACACTATGAAAGATTCACCTCTATGCCAAATCCAATGACCTCTTCTCGGTCCCCATCCTATTTGATCTCTGTACCATTTGGCAAAGTTGACCACTGCTCTCCGTGAAACTATCTCTTTTCTTGATTTCTAAGACACCACTGTCTTTTATTTTTCTTTTTTCCTCTTCCTTGATGAGTCTTTGTCATCTTTTAAATGGCAATATTTTCTAGGGTTCCACCTTTTATCCTCTTCTTTATCATCTGTACTCTTTCCTACAGATGTCTCATCTACTTCTGTTTCAGCAACACCATGTGCTGGCAACTCCCAATCTCTCCAGCTAAGTCATTTTTCTAGCTCCCTGCTATACACCATGTATTGGAGCCACATTCTCAACAAGTCCAAAAATAGAATTTTTTTGTCTTTCCTCTCATCTTATACCTTCTCTGTTTTCTCAGATAACAGCATCACCAACAGCTCCATTACCCAGAGAGTTAGTTGACTCTCTCTGTGCACTATCTCTTAAATATGTTTCTTCTGTCTCCCAATACTCTCCACTGATTAGAAGTAGATTCAGAGTATCAGGCTCCATATCTCTAGTTCATCACTTATACTTCTTACATTTATACTACTAGTATGATAACTATCCTACTGAGTATGAAGTAGTATCTCATTGTGGTTTTGATTAGCATTTCCCTAATGACTAGTGATGTTGAGCATCTCTCTTTGTGCTTATTGACCACTTGTATATCTTCTTTGGAGAAATGTCTATTTGAGTCTTTCGCCCATTTTTGAATTGGGCTGTTTGGGTTTTGCTGTTGAGTTGTAGGAGTGCTTTATATATTCTAGATATTTGTCCCATATCAGATATATAAATTTGTTTGCTGAGTTGCAAAAGTTCTTTATATATTCTGGGTATTAATCTCTTATCAAATATATGATTTGCAAATATTTTCTCCAGTTCTATGGGTTGTCTTTTCATTCTCTTGATAGTGTCCTTTGATGCACAAAAGTTTTTAATTTTGATGAAGCCCAATTTATCTGTTTTTTCTTTTGCTGTCAAAAGACAAAGAAAACACAAATAATGGAATGGTATCCCATGTTCATGGACCAAAAGAATTAATATTGTTAAAATGCCAATACTACCAAAAGCCATCTATGGATTCAATGCAATCCCTATCAAGATTCCAATGGCATTTTTTACAGAGACAGAAAACACACTCTTAGAATTTATAGGTAACCACAAAAGACACCAAATAGCCAAAGAAATCCTGTGAAAGAACAAAGCAGGAGGCATCACATTTCCTGATTTCAGCTATAATATAAAGCTATAGTAATTAAGACAGTATGCTACTGGCATAAAAACAGACAAATAGACCCATGGAACAGAATTGGGAGTCTAGAAAGAAACCCATGCATATACAGTCAATTAATATTTGACAAGGGAGCCAAGAATACTCAGTGGAAAAAATACAATCTCTTTAATAGATGGTGCTGAGAAAACTGGATATTCACATGTAAATGAATGAAACTTGACCCCTATCTTACACCACTCATAAAAAAACTAACTCTAAATAGATTAAAGACTTAAATGTAATACCTGAAATCATAAAGCTCTAGAAAAAACATAGGAAAAAACTCCTTGACATGGGTATTAGTAAGAACTTTTTGGAAATCACACCTAACGCACAAGCAACAAAATAAAAAAAAAACACACACACAGACAAGTGGGACTACATCAAACTAAAAAACTTCTGCACAGTAAAAGAAACTGTCAACAAAGTGAAAAGACAACCTATGGAATGAGAAAAAATATTTGCAAACCATCTATCTGATAAGGGGTTAATATCCAAAATATATAAAGAACTCATACAACTCAATAGCAAAAAAGCCAAATAATCCAATTTTTAAAATGGGAAAAGGAACTTAATAGACAATTTTCCAAAGAAGATATATGAATGGCCATTTTCATCAAAAAGACAAGAGATAACAAATGCTGATGTGGATGTGGAGAAAAGGGAAACCTTGGGCACTGTTGGTGGGACTATAAATTGGTACAGCCGCTATGGAAAACAGTATGGAGGTTCCTCAAAAAATTAAAAATGGAACTACTATATGATCCAACAATTCTACTGGGAATATATCCAAAGGAAATAAAAACACTAACTCAAAAAGATATCTGCACCCCCATGTTCATAGTAGTAGTATTTACAGTAGCCAAGACGTGGACACAACCTAAGTGTCCATCAATGGATGAATGGATACAGAAGTTGTGGTAAATGTATATGCAATTTTTTATTCAGCCATAAAAAGATGAGAAAATCCTACCATTTACAACAACATGGATGGACCTGAAGGCATTAGGCTAAGTGAAATAAGTCAGACAGAGAAAGACAAATACTATATGATCTCACTTATTTGTGGAGTCTAATAAAACAACAACAACAGAAACCAAACTCATAGAAAAAGAGATCAGATTTGTGGTTACCAGAGGTGGGGAGGTAGGGGGAGAGGGAATTGGAAGAAGATGGTCAAAAGGTACAAACTTCCAGTTATAAGATAAATAAATACTAGGGATGTAATGTACAACATGATGACTATAGTTGACATTGCTATATGATATATAAGAAAGTTGTTAAAAGAGTAGATCCTGGGGCCAGCCCCGTGGCTGAGAGGTTGAGTTTGTGTGCTCTGCTTTGGTAGCCCAGGGTTTCACCAGTTCGGATCCTGGGCGCAGACATGGCACCACTCGTCAGGCCATGCTGAGGCAGTGTCCCGCATGCTACAACTAGAAGGACCCACAACTAAAATATACAACTATGTACTGATGGGATTTGGGGAGAAAAAGCGGAAAAGATTGGCAACAGTTGTTAGCTCAGGTGCCAATAAGGGGAAAAAAAAAGAGTAAATCCTAAGAGTTCTCATCACAAGGCAAAATTTTTTTCTTTTTTTTTATTGTATCTATATGAGATAATGGATGTTAACTAAACCTATTGTACTAATCATTTCACAGTATATAAAAATCAAACCATCATGCTGTACACCTTAAACTTATACGGTGATATACATCAATTATATCTCAATAAAAGTGGAAAAAAATTTTAATTCAAAAAATATATAAATTCAGTAAGTTTGGAAAAGAAACATTATGTCAAAGTAGTTTAAAGCAGTAATTTATTTTTAAACAAAATAGAACTAGGACATTAAAAAAATTTTACAAACTTTTTCAGAGGTTTCTAAGTCCACTTATTTTCTTCTTTTTTTTTGGGGAGGGGGGGAAGATTAGCCCTGAGCTAACATCTGCCGCCAATCCTCCTCTTTTTGCTGAGGAAGACTGACCCTGAGCTAACATCCATGCCCATCTTCCTCTCCTTTATATGTGGGACACCTACCACAGCATGGCTTGCCAAGCGGTGCCATGTCCGCACCCAGGATCTGAACTGGCGAGACCCCGGTCGCCGAAGTGGAATGTGCGCATTTAACCGCTGCACCACCGGGCTGGCCCCTAAGTCCACTTTTAAGACAGCTAAATATTTTCTGTTTCCTTGGGGTAAATTCTAGAAACTTATAATAGTCAAATACAATGCAACTTTTATAGGTTATTAATATACACTGCCAAAGGGCCCATCTATTTATACTTTCCACAATGAATAAGACTACCTTTGTTCCTCTCACTCTTGTCTATACTGAGCATTATCATCAAACACACACATAAACTTTGCCAATTTGAAGGGTGAGAAGGAATTTCAGTGTTTGTAAACAAGTGTATAAAGTAAAAGTTCCTTCTTCCCAATCTAATTCCAGATGTAACAACTATTAACCACTTGGGTTTTTGTTAATTTTTGACCTACAGAAGACTTTTTGGTTTGGTTTGGTTTTGCTTGCTTTTTGTTAAGACTGACAAGATTCATTAGTTCCTTCTTGTTTTTATATTTAGTGTCATGCTTTAGGAAGTCCTTTTTCACAGAGATACAGTCCACTGGAATGTTCCAACTTGCTCAAATAGAATTACGAAAGGCAGAATTGTGCTTTTCATAGAGATATAGTCGACTGGAATGTATAATGTCTTTTCTCATGTCAATGTTACGTGTTCACCTATATCTTCTTTCTGGTTTAATTTTTAAAATTCTCATGCTGATTTAATATCCAAATGTTTCCTTCCAAAATTTCAAAAATTTACAAAAGTAGAGGGAATAGTTTAGTGAATTGCCATATACTCATCACCCAGCTTCAAGTTATCAACTCATGCCCGATCCTTTTTTACCTTTGTCCTCCCAACTCCCCCTCCGATTATTTTGAAGCAAATCTCAGACATACCACTTTATGTATCTCTAAGAGATAGGAAGTCTTTATTAAGAGGATTTGCGTGTTTAAATATTTAATCCATTTGGGGTTTATTTTAGTGTTTTTCAGGGATTTAATTTTATTTCACTTTTCAAATTAGTTATTTAGTTAATTGTCCCAATGCCATTTATTGAATAATTCATCCTTTTGTCCATTGATAAGAAGTGCTTCCTCAATAATATATTAAATTCTCATGTATTTGAACCTGTTTTTGGCCTTTCTGTCTCATTATCTTTTGCTCTTTTCCTACAGCATGATATTTAAGTTTTTATTTGATGTGACTTTATGTCACATGAAAGTAGGATTAAATTTTTTGGTTATTAATCTAACATGAGAAAAACAAAAGCTAGTGGGAGATTAAGAATATTTACTGAGTTAAATAAACATGTTTATAATAAGAACATTTACTCTCTTTCAGAGATCCTTTAATGTGGAGAGCTGTGATTGGAACCAATAACATAAATAGGAGTCATCCTCACACAAAGAAGATAAAAGTTAAAGCAATCATTATCCATCCATTTTTTGATTTGGAAACTTATGTAAATGATATTGCGCTTTTTCATTTAAAAAAAGCAGTTAAGTACAATGACTATATTCAGCCTATTTGTCTACCTTTTGGAGTTTTCCAAAACCTGGACTGGAACACAAGGTGCTTTATAAGTGGCTGGGGAAGAACAGAAGAAGAAGGTAACTATAATATGAATTTTACTGACACAAATTTTCCTGATTATTGGAAGAGAGTTAACCCTTTTATATATTTCTTTTTCTCTTTATATCATGAGTTTGAACCATAGGACTTTATAAACCAGTGCAAAAGAAATGTCTTTTTTTCTTGTCTGTATTTTTCCTTTCTTGTAGGAGAGAGAAAATTATCCTCCAAAGCAGAAAGAGAAACTTTTTCTGGTCATACATGCCAAGATACTTGAACCTTTAGACATTCTCAGAGAGAATGATGGTTCCAAGTATTTCTGTAGTTTCTGAGACTCATAGGTGATGGAGCCAGCTCTGTGGCAGAACTGCTTATCTTAAATAAAAAGCTTCTGGCTGTAAGGAATCAAATTTAGTGTCCTTTTTATTTGATGTCCTCTTGAGTATCAAACAGGTTGATTGCCATGTATTTTCTTTAGTGCACAAAGGGGCACTAATTGTTGACGGAATGAGGTAATGGGAGGAATAAAAAAACATAGAAAATAGATCTCTGCCTTTGGTAATAACAACAGCTACCATTTAGGATCATTTACCATGTTTCAGACCCTGTTCTAAATATATTACTTTATTTTAGCCTATCCTCCCAATATTCCTATTAGAGAGTTAATGCTATTATTCCCACTTAACAGACCAGGAATTATAGATCTTAGAGGTTGAGAAGCTGGCACTCAAATCCAGGTCTTTTTATTCTAAAGCCTGAATATTTAAGTACTACATTAAGTACAAACTTCACTTAAGGGAATCAAAGTCTAGTTAGCAATACATAGGATCAAGTGCTGAGACTCTTTTTCTATTACTCCCAGAACCTGGCTATTTAAATATTTGTGGATTATTTAGATAGGATAGGGATGAATGTATGAAAGATCTGTGAATTATTATTTTTCTTTTTTCCTCCATGAGTACTTTCTAAGGAAGATAAGAAAAGCAATATGGTATAGGGAAAAGAGCATGGGCTTTAGAACCACAGACCTAAGTCTGAATCTCATCCCTGCTGTGTGCCAGCTGCATGACCATAGGCAAGTTATTGAATCTTTAACAACAATTAGAACAGCAATGATAGCAGCAACTACCATTTATTCATGGCTAGATACTTTTAACAAGTACTAAGCATTTTAATGCATTTCTCATTTAATGTCCTCCAACAACACTATGAGAAATACTATAACATGGATGAATAAACAGGTTTAAAGAGGTTAAATAAGTTGCCCAAAGTTGCACAGCTAACTAAATGAGGAATCAAAATTCAAGCCCAGGTCAGCTTGCCTCAAAACTCATGTGTTTCCACTATCTATATCATCTCTCACAATGTCATACATTTTCATGATCTGTAAGATGAGAACAATAATCCCTATCAGAGGGTTGTTTTGAGGATTAAGTTGGCTCTCCAGCAGCATGATAGATTACATACACACCAATCTTCTTGCTGAAAACTATTAAAGAGGGAAAATACATACATCAAGGATTGAGTGTGAAGATGGGAACTTAGATAACTGGAGCACTGAAGCTGGCTTTCATCTGGAGGGTAGTTGCCAAATTGGTAACATTGAATATCAATTTCTGTGGTTTCATAGGCCTTGAGAGGGTTAAAGGACAAGACCTGCTCAAGTGTGTGTGGGGAGACTCCCATAAAGCTGGAGCCCCAGGGATATACTCTAAGAATGAGTGAGACTCATGACCCAGTATGTAGTTCATATATACATAGCTCACTTCAAATATGATATAGATAAGTTGAAAGTAAAAGGACAGGAAAAGATATACCATGGCAACATTAATGAAAAGAAAGCTGGAATGGAAAAAAGAAAAGAAAAGAAAGCAAGAATGTCTACATTAACATCAGATAAAGTAGACTTAAGAGCAAAGAAAATTACAAGAGATAATGAGGAACATAACATAATGATATAAGGGAAAATCCACCAAGGAGACATAGCAATCCTAAATGTGTATGCACCAAACAAGAGAGATACAGTTTCTTAAAAACATACACATGCATATACACTTACCATATGACCCAGCAACCACGCTTCTGGGCATCTATCCCAGAGAAATAAAAACGTATGTCCACACAAAAACCCATTCACAAATGTTCATAAAAGCTTTATTTGTAATATCCAAAAACTGGAAAAAAAACCCTCTAAATGTTCTTCAATATGTGAATGATTAAACAAACTACAATATATCCTTAACATGGAATACTACTGAGCAGTTAAAAGGAATTAACTATTGATACATGCAGACACTTAGATGGATCACAAGGGCATTGTGCTGAGTGAAAAAAACCTCTTTTCAAAAGGTCGCATATTTGATTCCATTTATACAACATTTGCAAAATGACAAAATTATCAAGATAGAGAACAGATTACTGGTTGCTGGAGGTCAAAAGGTTAGGTAGCATGAAGGAGATCTTTGTGATGATGGAATAGGTCTGTATCTTGATCATAATGGTGACTACATGCAACAGAATCGGATAGAACTACACACATACACACATTGTCCCAATGTCAGTTTCTTGATTTTGATATCATACTTCAGTTACATGGATATAACCATTGCAGGAAACTGGGTAAAGAGTACACTGGACCTCACTGGACCACCTTTGCAACTAGCTGTAATTATAATGATTTTGAAATAAAAAGCTTTAAAAAAAAATGAACCGGATATAACCAAAGCATTCTTAACCCCTACCACCAGCCCCAGGATTGCTAGAAAAATTGCTTAATAGAAGGGGGAAAAGATAGGAAATTTCCCAGAAAATACATAACTACAAATAGCACTCATATGGATTTGCTGCCCAAGATCACTCTGAGTAGACTAGAAAGCGTCAAGCTTAGAATTTAGTTTGAATAGGTCCTAGACCATTAATGTCTCTAGGTGCCTGAGAAAATCAAATGCAAATAATTTGTATAGAAATTCAGTTTCATCTAAGACCTCGAAGAATTTCATCAAAGTTTCAATGAAAATGAATGGATTATAACTTTAAAACTCACTAAACCCCAAAGGAAACAACGGACTATGAGTGAGAGTCAGCAGAAATAACAGACATCAGAATAAGACCTGCAAAGATTTTAGATATTGGAATCATTAGACAATATAAAAAATGTTTAATATGTTATAAGAAATAAAAGATGTGCTTGAAAGTATGAATAAAAAGTAAGGAGTTATGAAAAAGAACCAAACAACTGTGACAATTAAAATATATAATCATTGAAACATTATATATGAATATATTATATATGAAATGATAATATATATTACATATTAATGAGCTAAAGTAGTACCAAGTCAGAAGGCACTTAGGATTCCCACTGATTAAAATCAACCAAATATCCGTTCAGAAAAATCACCAAACATATAAGGAAACAAATCATAATAATGAAAATCAACAGAAATAAAACAACAGATTAAGCTCCCCAAGGATATCAGATATTAATATTTTAGGTATAGAATATAAAATAAGTATATGTGAATTGCTTAAAGAAATAAAAAAGTAGAATTAAAAATAAGCAATAGAGAGACTTTTCTTTCTCCATTGTATGTTCTTAGCTCCTTTGTTGGAGATTAGCTGTCCACAGATGTGTGGTTTTGTTTCTGGGCTTTCAATTCTGTTCCATTAATTTGTGGGTCTCTTTCTGTGCCATACCATGCTGTTTTCATTACTATAGCTTTGTAGTACGTTTTGAAGTCAGGGATTGTGATGCCTCCAGCTTTGTTCTTTTTTCTCAGGATTGCTTTAGCTATTCAGGTTCTTTTGTTGTCCCACATGAATTTTAGGCTCCTTTGTTCTATTTCTGTGAAGAATGTCATTGGGATTCTGATTGGGATTGCATTGAATCTGTAGATTGCTTTAGGAAGTATGGACATTTTAACTATGTTTATTCTTCCAACCCATGTGTATGGAATATCTGTCCATTTCTCTATGACATCACTGATTTCTTTCAGTAATGTCTTATAGCTTTCATTGTATAGGTCTTTCATCTGCTTGGCTAAATTTATTCCTAGATGTTTTATTCTTTTTGTTGTGATTGTAAATAGGATTGTATTCTTGAGTTCTCTTTCTGTTGGTTCATTATTAGAGTATAGAAATGCAATTGATTTTTGTATGCTGCAGCTTTGCTGTAGCTGTTGATTATTTCTAATAGTTTTCTGATGGATTCTTTAGGATTTTCTGTCTATAAAATCATGTCATCTGCAAATAGTGAGAGTTTCACTTCTTCCTTGCCTATTTGAACTCCTTTTATTTCTCTTTCTTGCCTAATTGCTCTGCCAAAACCTCCAGTACTGTGTCGAATAAGAGTGGCCAGAGTGGGCACCCTTGTCTTGTTACTGTTCTCAGAGGGATGGATTTCAGTTTTTCCCCATTGAGTATGATGTTGGCTTGGGTTTGTCATATACAGCCTTTATTATGTTGAGGTGCTTTCCTTCTATACCCATTTTATTGAGAATTTTTATCATAAATGGATGTTGGATCTTATTAAATGCTTTCTCTGCATCTATTGAGATGATCATGTGGCTTTTATTCCTTATTTTGTTAATGAGGTGTATCACATTGATCAATTTATGGATGTTGAACCATCCTTATGTCTCTGGTATAAATCCCACTTGATCATGGTGTATGATCTTTTTAATGTATTGCCATATTCAGTTTGCCAATATTTTCTTGAGGATTTCTGCATCTATGTCATCAGTGATATTGGCCTGTAATTTTCCTTCTTTGTGTTGTCCTAATCTAGCTTTGGGATCAAGGTGATGTTGGCCTCGTAGAATATGTTAGGAAGTGTTCCATCATCTTCAATTTTTTGGAATAGTTTGAGAAGGAGAGGTATTAAATTTTCTTTGAATGTTTGGTAGAATTCTCCACAGAAGCCATCTGGTCCTGGACTTTATTTTTGGGGAGGTTTTTGATTACTGTTTCAATCTCTTAACTTGTGATTGGTCTATTCAGATTCCCTATTTCTTCTTGATTCACTTTTGAGAGGTTTATG